CCTGCTGCTGATTGGCTGATGAGACGTGAGGTCACAGCCAGGAATATATTCAGAGTCAGGAAGCAGACTTTGTTTCACTGACGTCGTCTTCGGCTCGTTGGTGACGTGAGTTTAGACTCGGGTTACGTCACAGCTGATGACGAGCGCGTCTGTGCTCGCTCTGCTCAGGTGAGCCACACAGACAGGTGTCAGGCTCCTCCCCCTCGTATGTCCCCCGTCTCTCTATCCCTGTCGCGCATGTCTGTGATCGCTTCCTGTTGGAAGTTTCTAGAAATACACTAAGAGTGTAAGTGGAGCCTTTGACGCCATGTTTGTTCACATTCACGCTCTCTCCTCTTTAACAGGAAGCTCCACAGACTCGAGTCCCGGCGGCGCTCCGCCCTCGTGGCCTCGAGCCGCTGTGGTTCTGCTCGTGTTATAATAACAGTAACGATAACAATAAAAGTTTAATAACAGAAAAAAGCAGCCCAGTTTTCATTCTGCGCTTGTTCTACGTTTAAATTCGAGCGTTCTGATGAAGTTTTCATGTTTTTCATGTTTTGTTCTGTTGCTGTCATCTTATTGTGGAGTTTTTAGAGACTCACACCTGTTTTTATTTACATCAGTTGTGTCAATAAAACACTTTGATTTGTTTGAAAAAGGATGTTTAAAAAGAAATGATTGACTGATGTTTGCAGCGGATGGAAACAAACAGGAGCCTCTGAGGGAAGAGGCGACAAAGCTGCTGTGGGAACGTTTCAGCGTGAGCGCGTTGTCTCAGCGAGCGGTGACGTCACACCAGACGGCGGGAAAAACGAAGCGCAGGTGTGAGCGGCAGAGGCGGCAGCTTCTTTTGCGGAGACTCTCACTGGCTCCAAAACTTCAAACTTTATTTCTTTAAATCCAGCTTCAGTCAGTTTTTTTTAAAGCAGGCATCTATGTTGTAACTTATTTTTAATGCAGGTTGTGTTTCACGTTCGCTTTAAAGCTGAGCTCTGCTCTGAGTCAGGATTTTACACCTGCTGTGACCTTTGACCTTTTACACATGTAAAGAAACTTAAAAAGTGAGCAGAACTATGAAGAAGTGACACATGTTTAACAAACAGGTAAATGTTGGGACTTGGTGCTCTTTCACCTGTAAGTAATCTGATTACTGCAGGTTAAATCTGTCATGGCTGCGTGTGAACGAGGTCAGCAGTGACTGGCTCTCACTGAGACGCTGGCTGATGTTAACTTTACTTCATGCTGTTAGTGAAAAATAAACTCAGACCTCAACGTCTCCATCATCAGGCTAAGCGCTCAGACCTGTTACCTGCTGCTGTGAGGGAGGAGCTGCTAATGAAAACACACTTATGCTGTGAGGTTAGCGCCCCCTGTGTGTCTGTCCATTCAACTACATCTTATAATAGCTGAATGAGGGCGATCACAAAGAGACATGAAACAGACAATTTTATGAGAGTGATTTTAAAATTTATGTAAAGGGTTATTTTTTTTATATAATAGTCTTAAAATTCCACCTAAATAATCTGAATACCTTCAACCAGTTTATGGGAAAATTAAAGCATTTTAAGACCTTAATTATATTGATTATAATTTCAGTTTTTTTTCAAAGAGTTTCTAAGGACCTGTTGGAACTGTTTAAGTTAATTTGTCTGTTTATAAAAACTTGAACAAATGTGGCACTAAATAACATTCAACATATATTGAAACTGTGATTTATCTTCATTTAAAATGAAATGTGATTCTCCTGTCAGATCTCAGCTTCTATTGTCTGTCTGTTGGTTTGTCTCACCATGACTGTTTTATTGTTATTAGTCATTAGATATTTATCATTTATTATTTATTTAAGAAATCCAGTGGTGGACTGAAACAATGATTTGCGCCATGATTTTGACTCTGGGCCACTTTGGTGTTTTTCAGCACTGTGACCAGATCAGATTTCTCTTTTAAAAACATTAAAACATTCACGTTAATGATATTATTGAATGTGTAGCACAGAGATCTGTGAGCATCTTTGAAGAGGAACCTGAGTGCTGCTGATGCTGTGATGAGAGCAGACAGTCAACAGGTGAGGACAACACGAGGACATTCCTGCTGTTATAACATTGCTGCTCTCAAAGCCACGATAAACACTTCAGTGCATTATCACAGATATTTTCTTTATGTGAACATGTAGAGTTACAAGCTATTTAGGTGCATACAGATTCAGACAAAACCTTCAATCACAGCACATTTTGTCATGTCATAGGACTGAATGCTGCATCTTCAAAATGTCAGTTAAATATATATTAATGAGGATGTTGGTTTGCAAAATCATCTCAGAAAACAGTAAATTTCCTTATAAATAACTTAAATATAAGTGACAATGATGCTGTTCTCCAGCATAATGAATTGGTAGCAGTATTACCCTCACATTAAAATGATGCATAAAGAGGCCTTGGATGGTGAATGGGTCATTAAGCTGTCTGTACTTACAGATTTATTAATGTATGTGTTTATTTGAATCTGGAAATATTATTTAAGATAAATGTTGTGAAAAATGTGATATCCCAGCCCATTTCCAGTGAAAATGCTTAGCTGGGTGATTAATTTTATTATAAGCTGCAGTGGATAGTGTCTGACATTTTAAAAAAAAATTAATTACAGCATGTGATTATTTGTAAGAGACGTCTACACTGAGAGGTCATGTCAGAATATGATCAGATTTTGACTGTGAACTGTGATGAGGTCAAAATAAAGTGTGACATGTTTAAAAAAAAAAATATATATATAAATATAAAAGTGTGAGTAAAGAGATCCCCATTTGGACTAAATATCTTACCAGTGGTTTGGTTGAACCGCTCCATTGCTATTCCAATATTGCCTTGAAAGTTCTGTTGAGTTCCTCGTCTGATATTTGTGATGCTGCTCTCATCTCTAACTCCTTCCATCCAGGTCTGCTTCAGGACATTCTTCTCTGAAACGCTGTCATAGTAATCAATTTGCTCTCCATCCACAACACCCACTGCAACGAATCTGGGGAACCGTTCAATGCCAGTGGATGCTGTGTAGAAGTACTGCAGACTGTGGGTCACTGCAAGACAGAATTTAAAAACAGTGGTTTTGATGAACCCATTTTTTTTTTATTCGAATGATCTTTTAACCTTCAGCCTCTGATTAACTGATGATTTAGGTCTTTTTCAAATGTTTTTGCAATATAGCATTTTTTTGTCCATGTCAGAATAAAAAAATAATAATCCTCCATCTTGCTGCAAAAAATGTTTTAATAATAATAATAATTGGATTTGTCTTAGTTTGTGGATGGGGTTAGTGGGGTCTTTGTTTTTCTTCCATTGCATGCATGTACAGTCAAGCCCATAATTATTCATACCCCTGGCAAATTTTGACTTAAAGTTACTTTTATTCAACCAGCAAGTTCTTTAACAGAAATGACACAGGTGTCTCCCAAAAGATAACAAGACGATGTAAAGAGGTATCAATGTGGAAAAAAATATTTCTCAGCTTTTATTTATATTTTAGTAAAAAGTATCATGCTGGGGAGTCTTCTTGCCATCACCCCGATCTTTAGCTCCCTCCACAGATTCTCAATTGGATTCAAGTTGGGACTCTGGCTAGGTCACTGCAAAACGTTAATGTTGTTGTCTGCTAACCATTTCTTCACCACTTTTGCTGTATGTTTTGGGTCATTGTCGTGCTGAAATACCCACTGGTGTCCAAGGCCAAGTTTTTCTGCAGACTGCCTGATGTTGTTGTTGAGAATCTTCATGTATTGCTCTTTTTTCATGGTGCCGTTTATTGTGATTAGGTTCCCTGGTGCACTGTCTGAAAAACACCCCCAAAGCATTAGGTTCCCACCACCATGTTTGACAGTGGGGATGTTCTTTGGGTTGAAGGCTTCTCCTTTTTCACGCAAAATGAAGGCAACATCATTGTGACCAAACAATTAAATTTTTGTTTCATCTGACCATAACACTGAAGACCAGAAATCTTCTTCTTTGTCCAAATGAGCATTTGCAAAGGCCAAGCAATCTTTTGCGTGCCTCATCTGGAGAAGTGGCGTCCTCCTTGGTCTGCGTCCATGGAACCCAGCAGTATTTAGTGTCCGTTGGACTGTCTGCCTTGAGACATTGCCACCAGCAGAGCCCAGATTCACCAGGATGGGCTTGGTGGTGATCCTTGTATTCTTTTTCACCTCTCTCATTTTCCTCCTGGCCAGCACAGGTGTCACTTTTGGCTTCCAACCACGTCCTCTGAGTTTTTCCACAGTGCGGAACATCTTGTATTTTTTAATAATACTTTGCACTGTAGCCACTGGAACTTGAAAAAAAATGTATATATGGCCTTGTAGCCCTTTCCTGACTTGTGAGCAGCCACAATGCGCAGCCACAGGTCCTCACTGGGTTTCTTTGTCTTAGCCATGACTTTTCACAAACCACCAGTTCATTAAAACAGCTGTTCCCAATTAATCAGTGTAATTAGGCTTTAGAACAGCTTGGACTATTTGTAATGGTATAGAACTTTGGATTTTTCCAGAGACTGTGACAGTTTGTGAAGGGTATGAATAATTCTGGACATGATACTTTTTGCTCAAATGTACAAGCTGAGAAATATTTTTTTCCACAATGATGCCTCTTGTACATCATTTTATTATCTTTTTGGAGACACATGTGTCATTTCTGTTAAAAAAGAACTTGCTGGTTGAATAAAAGTAACTTTAAGTCACAATTTGCTAGGGGTATGAATAATTATGGGCTGTATGTTTTTTCTGTGTGCCTGTGATTTCTCAAGTAAAAGTGCTCTAAGCACTCGGTGCCCACCTTAGCAACTGACTTTATGGTAGGGGTGGGTTTTTATAATCGATTTATCGATTAAAATCGATTCTGGCTTGGATAACGTGAAATTGATTCATTAAAATCCTGAATTGATTTTTTTTATATAAATTTATTTTTCCCAAAATGCCAGAATCTCAGGTGAAACCTCACAAAATTTCAACAACCACCAAACAGCTAAGACAGTAAATGAGAGCAGGTACACGGATTCTGCACAAAGACGTAAACACACAGCGGGACCGCTGATCAGAATCAGTGAGATGTCGCCTTTCTCACCCGACGGCACGGACACAGCCGGGGCTGAAAGCCGACAGCTCGCTGATTCCGATGTTTCGGCGGGTCCGCGCTTTGTGTTTACGCCCTTTTTGCCGGATTCTAAAGCTGTTAGTTTGATGTCTCTCCAAACAATATTGACCGAACCAGCAGCAAAAGAAGATCCAAACTACGCTTCACATAAACATCGTCATGAATTCACTCTGACTTTTACTGTTTTGCTTCCACCAGGATAAAATCACACTTCATACACAGCTCTCTCTCTCTCTCTCTCTCTCTGTACTTCAAGAACAGTTTCCCATCTAAAAATCTGTTTTCTGCATTATTCGCTTGCTTGTTACGCACAAGTCTATCGTTGTGTACAGCGCTGTCGGCCGCTGTTTTATTTTCCTTTTACATACTTCCGAAAAGACAACCTAATTTCTGCCGTTCAACAGGCTTCTGAACAAATTTAAACTTTTTAAAATTATGCAAAATGCAAAACGCTTAGCTGTGTCTCTAATAAAACCTCTGTAACTTCAGAGGTAATGTTCATAAGTTGATTAATGGTTTTCTTTTGTTTTTGATGTACTGCAGAATATTTTTTATAAAATCCCAGGCCAGGAAAATCACCATGTTTTTCTGTGTTTTATCATCAGCTACGTTGACACAAAGGCGTCTGCTGTGACGCTCACACCTGTGATAAAGTCTTGCGTGTGTCAGCTTCCTTTTTATAGATACAAAAATATGTAAATGTACTCATCTGAATTTTAATATTTCTGACTGTCAAAATTTCCCAGAATCAAATCAAATTGAATCGAATTGTGGATCGAATCGATTCGGGACCTTGTGAATCGGATACCCAGCCCTACTTTATGGCTTTGGCTCAGGGAGTAAGGTATGGATGACCACAGCGCCATCAGCTGGCTCCTAGCGAATATACCAAAAATGCTCAGCTACAGTACGCTGTGGACTTAATGCACACATTGTAATTGTAAGGCAGGTAAATAAACGATACAATTGTCGTCATTTCCCTCAGTCGACTAATCATATTCTTATCTCTTAAATTCCTGTTTAAGGATCACGGTTTTCTGAAGTATTTCATTTGCGTAGTTTTATATTTGCTGTTTGCACTGTCATCTTATTTTCGTAGCCTACATTTAATTTCATATGCAAATATTTCCGTTGTACTTCTTTAAATAAGAGAAGACAGTTAAATGATATGTTTATAAAGTCAATTAAGTATTCCCTTCTTCATATTCATATTATTATTTACAGCTAAATCTCTGAAATTGAGCTCCAAATAAGAATAAAAAATACTCACCAGCCGCAGCGCCGTGTATTTCCAGAAGAACCAAAAGAACCAAGGTCCTCATCCTGATCTTTAACTTTTGACTGACTGAGAAGTAATAGTTCAAATCAACTGTCACTTCACAAAGTTGAGGCGTCCCTCCTGTAAAAATTCCAGCGCTAAACTGAGAAAGGAATCGGAGGATCGTCTAGTATAAGCTTCCTGCTGAGCCAATGGGCATTTAGATTCAGCGCAGCGTCATTTAAAACTAGGCTGAAAGGCTTCTCTTAGGTTACTAACGAAAGTGAAAGTCAGTATGCTAACGTTTTCAGAATTTAAGAGATGAAGAGATGTAATTTGTCTTCTCTCTTTATTGTTTATACATTTAAATATTATCCTAATTTAAGCAGATATGCAGCACAGGTCTTCTATGATTTATAGTCATTGTAAAACAGTTTGACACAGCGTGAGACAATAGGCTATACTATGGGCTCTTAGTAATTTTCTTTTAATTTATATTTTGTTTTGTATTCCTGAATTTGTATTCCTGATTTCAGTTATTAACCAGTGCTCTTAAAAAAATCTACAAGTGATATTTATTTGTTGCTCCAGGCAGTAAATGTGGTGAACTGCCCCCCCTCGTGGCCTGTAGTTGCCAGGACGTTACAGGGCCCACAGAAAACTACAAAAATTGTTTTCTACAGTCCCTGGTCCAGTGCATCATGGTTGACTAGGCAGGAGAGAGCTTTCTTAAAGAGAAATCTGAGGAGTAAGAAGAGATAGGATTTAGAATTCTTTAGTATTGTTTAATGCATGCTGTTATGACCCAGCTCAAAAGCCGCAACATAAATATGGAGACTAATACCAGAATTTCACAGAGAAGAGCTTTTATTTTGAATTATATAACAAGTTGGCTAAAATATCTGGTGCCACAACGACAACACAGACAAAGACTAATGAGCCTTTTAAAAAGCCTGCCTCAGGTATGCCTTTATCCACACCTGAAGTGTGGTCAGTTAGCAACAGCAGAACACTGCAAGGCATTACAATGCTGAACCATACTGTGAGTATTTTAAAAATAAATGGTGAAATAAGTGTGAGTGAAAATGAAGTAGTAAATGGAGTGAGAGAGTAAACTGAATACAGTTGCTTGTGGTGCTCCCTAATGGCAAGTTAGTGTTAGTTTTAACAGATAACACCCAAAGATCATTCTGGGTGGCTTGCTGGGTTTACTGTAATGAAGCTTATGTGTAAGTTCAATAAAGAAGAGTTATAGTGTTTGTGTAAACCGATAAATCATGTTCAATTCCTTCTAAACTCTAATGAGAAAAATAAAAGAAATGGCTTGAGAATTCTGTACATTGCTGTCTAGAAAATAGAAAAGAAAATGATTTACCATAAACTTTTGGAGATTTCACTTCTACAAACCTCCATATTTTACTAAATTTTTGTGTTAACATTTTGCAAAGCAGGTATTTACTTACTGTCCTATGCCTTTGAAGCATAATCTTTACTTCAGTCAATCTGGTCGTTGATCACTATTTGAATGAAATGTTATCACAGTTTACTAAAAATAAATGTGTTATACAATAATTTCAACTGGAGAAAGGACACAGTGAATTACATGTGAACAGATGGAGGATGGAACATACAGTGGGCCTTGTCCACCGGTCTGGCTTTGTTTAGCCCAACAAACCTCTGAAACTGAAAAGATGGATCTGGTGAAACCCATATATGTATTATTCCACTTGAGCTCCCTGCAATGCAATTCCATCTCTGGGGTACAGGTAAAAGAAAATGTAGAGTAGCATTTGCCACAATGATGCATTGTAGCTTTTTCCTAGTACTGTACTTGAAAATAGCCATTCACCACAACTTTGATTTGTTGGTCACTCTCTGGTACAAATCCCAACAATGCCACTGGAATTCATATTTTTCTACATTGATATAAAGTTTGCTCTTCAATAGCCTGTGCAAAATATGTAGGCTACATTGTGCCAATGGTTCATAAGGTTTGTCCAAGCAGAACTGAAAACTACATATCATAAAAGGCTTTCTTCTATTTATCTTTCACTCTCTAATTGACACTAGGTGATAACCATTTCTTACATCCAATTTTAGAAAATGGTAGCACTCAGCAATAGCCCAAATGCTAAATTTATTATTTAGAAAAGAATATCCAGGTACCTTGTATGGTGGTTGAAGTAATGTTTCAGCTGTGATTCATGTTAGATCATAAAAAATAGTTTATATTAATTTTCAAAGTGTTATTGGTCATTATTACTTCAGCAGACTGATTATCTACAGACTGTATTCAGATATTCAAACAATATAATTAGCTCACTGAAAGTGTTCAGGATGAAAATATTGCCGTTAACTTTAAATTTGTTGAGACATTTAGTGTGATGACATAAAAGATAATCTGGAGGTTAGCAACTCCCAATCACGATAGATTTATTACCTCAAAGTTTGAATGGATCTAAATGAAGAAGACAGGCTGCCCTAACAACCAAAGAAGCAAGTATCCAGGAAATATTTTTTTTTTACCCAAATTATTATTTTATTTACTTTATTGTTGCCAAAAATATGTTTCTGTTCATCTGGACATAACGTTTTCAGTGGGAGAATGTTTTGTCAGGGAAAGCACTACATCCAGTTGAACAGAAACAATTTTTTGGGATTTCCCTACCTGGATGATTGAGGATGAATCAAAAATATTTAATGGTTTGTGTTGACAAAATTAAAAAAGGGTTATTCTTTTTCTAAGTGGATACATCCCAAATGTGCTTTTCCTAATAAAAACTCTCTGGGCACTATTTATTATTTCAACACACATCTAGGAGCGTGACCATGATAAGGAAAACTTGTCTTGTCATTTAACATGTATATAGTGGCCTGGACATTTCAAGAAAAACATTCAACATTAACACTTCCCCTCATTCATAGTATTGCTGTGCAGTATCGATCCAATACCAATACTAGTGTTGGTATCAGTACTATCAATATTTGGATTAATCCGCCCACCAGACCACCTAGTGCCCAGTGGTCTGTAACTCGATGATCCTCTCTCTCTCCATCCCTCTTGCTGCTTCTTTGCACTGAAAAATAACACACAAACATATTATATTCAACCACAAAATATGATACACATATAATCTTATAATAATTATGATAAGAGCAATTTGGGGATGTGCATTTGATATCTGTATAACACACTGCTTTGTTATATGAAATCATCATCAGTGAATGTAGGGAAAACAGATACTACGTTGGCCGCATAATGTGGACTGTTACCTGTTTCTATTTGCTCTGACTGTATTTGCTGTCTTCATCCTGATCTCCCCCTCTTTATCCTCCTCTCAGTTTTTGTGCTGTCATCCAAAAGTTAAATGTAATTGTGAAACAGAATTTACAACATAATAAAAGAGAAACCGATCCATATCAGTTTATAACAATATTAAAACAGAATAAGGTTTGCCACTGCCTAGTTTCTTAAACAGTGGTCTAAGCATATCTGGGACCTTCTAGAAAGAGAGCTCCCTGTTAAATCTGGAATCAAATTTAAAATCCTGCTCCTCAAATACAAGGTATTGAATAATCAGGCCCCATCTTATCTTAATGCAAAGAGTGTGGGCTTCTTGTTGTTCCTAGAGATGGCACGATACCACTTTTTTATGTCCGATACCGATATCATAAATTTGGATATCTGCCGATACCGATATGAATCCGATATAGTGTTTTTTAATCAACAAAAGTGTTTTTTTAATATCTTGCTGCATTTTGTATAAGTTCATACTCAAGTTTAAAACAACAACTACACTAAAACTATTCTGTTATACCTGTATGCAAAAAAAAAAAAGTTCAGCAATACTGATCAATCTAATAAACTTAAACCTACACCATCCTCCCTATTCTGGTATTTTAAAGAGTACTTAGCATAAATATTAAGCATAATATTAATTAACTAATAGGGTTCCAACTCCCAGCAACAACAAAAATAAATAAATAAAAAATAGGGAACCACCCCTCACGCTCCACCTCATGATGCTTAATCGACGTAATCAACCTTAATTTGATGCAGTGTGGAAAAAAATGCACAGAAATCAATTATTTTTCTACAATATTAAATAGATTGAACATCTTTCTTCAACAGAATTGCAGACTGCACAGATGGTACCTTCCCAAAGGAAAAAGTACTATAGCTTACTAGGGTATATTAGACTTAATAGTTACTATATACAGTAATGGACTTCTATTCATTTTGCATCAAATTAAAACTTTGGGTGTCAGATAATTATTTATTAAAAGCTCGACATTTTAAATGAGAATAAGAAAGAAAAGTATGTCTTTGTGCCCCCTTTTCCCTGTTAATGCCCTATCGGCCCTCTGGTTAAACTTTGCTAGATCCGCCCCTGCACAGTTACCAGCGTCAGCTACGTAGAAAAAGATCCTCGAGTAGAAAGTAATATTAAATACATTCTAACAACAGCTGATCAAGCTTAAACGTGCTGCTGTTGTTTATTCGCTGGTTTCCTCTTTCTGGTGCAAAGTGGGCCAAAAACAAACAAGAGACACGGACTCGTGACAGAAAAGCCGATCAGCTGATCGTTAAGCAGTTTCATGATTGAAGTAGCAGCAAGAAGGCAGTCGCTTGTTAAGCTTAACGCAGGAATGCTTTACAAACATTCAGAGATGGACTTACACACTTGCTTTACTTCTCTCGGGATAACTTTGTCGGAGATGAAATGCGGGGTTGCTAGCGAAGCTCCAAATGCTATCCAGACCACCAACAGGTCCTGCATGCCACAGCTGCTCTATCACGTGATGCATACTGCTCCGACGTGCTAACGTTCTGAGGTGAGTTACGGCGTGTTGCAAGTTTTGTGAGGTGCTTTCGTGATATTTAATGGATCGGATTACATTTTTTATTTTTCTCCGATATTCTCCGATCCAGTAATTTAGGTCAGTATCGGACCGATACCGATACGTAATATCGGATCGGTCCATCTCTAGTTGTTCCTAGAGTATTTAAAAGTAGAATGGGAGGCAGAGCCTTCAGTTTTCAGGCCCCTCTTCTGTGGAACCAGCTTCCAGTTTGGATTCAGGAGACAGACACTATCTCTACTTTTAAGATTAGGCTTCAAACTTTACTTTTTGGTAAAGCATATAGTTAGGGCTGGATCAGGTGACCCCGAATCCTCCCTTAGTTG